CATTTAGCACTAGCATGGTAACCTGACTGCACAATATGCATCTGGATAATCCTCACAGACATGAATTAAGCTTGGTCAAATAAAAAAAAATGAGAAGATAATCTCAAAGTAAGTTTAGGCATCTTTGTAAAACTGGGCTATTATACACACTTATTGTTCCACATAAACCGGAGTCATCATCACCATAGTCATAATTCATGCTTAAAGCAATCTTTGTATCAAGGGTGATTTACTTAATTCCTGCATTGGGACCACAAAAATGTTGACTTGTTCATTCTGTCTTTCAAACTCCACACCCTCACCTTAGGGATTATCTAGAAAATTCAAGTGCAGGAATCCACAGCCCCTGTCGAAGGGTGCGACGGATTTATATAGCCTGCTAGATAGGATTCTTTAGGACCTTTAACCTACTGTAGTAAAAAAATATATATATTTTTAGTGAAATGAAAGCCTCTTTACAGACCTGTTAATATTGTTGCAGTGTTTTGTTGAAGAAAGGCATGTATCCTTACACCTTAGCACTCAAACAAGCAGTAACACAAACTTTGAACTTCTTCTGATCCCTCAGTATTGTGAGTTTGAACAGGCAGTATTTCACCTGTTCCCTCAGTACATGAAGGATTTCAAGTGCAATACTGGTCAGATTCCAAGTCAGAACCTAGACATTTATAAGCACTGTGACATAATTCACCTCTGTCATTTTGACAGAATGAATGTGCCTCAAACTAAAGTGTTGCGATTCTTTTGCAAAACACTGATGAGCTATACAGTATCACATCTCCTTCTGTACCAGTATGTGTATCGGTATATGCCTGAACGTCTTGTATGTTTATTCAACTACAGGAAACAGCCTGATATGTCTTGCCACGTCTTGTCTGTTATCTTCTTACCTTTTTCATCTCACCGATTTGAATCTTCACATATCTGTATCATGATTTAACTGTCTTGTTTTATATTGTTACATACCTACTATCAAGGGAACTGAAATCTATCAGAGCTAACCAGGGATGCACAATATGTATATTTATTCAGCCGATGCGATAACCGATAATTACCTGCTTCTCATGGCTGATGCCAATAATATAACCGAAAATGTTGTATTTTAAAAAGAAGTTCATAAGATGTAGTGAGCAAAGATGGGTGATGTAATATTCAATAGCTCTGATTTAACCAAATGTAACTGACATCACTGTTGTTGACAACAACAACAACATCAAATGTCACACAGAAGAATTCAAAATAAAATACTATCATTATTGACTGATCATTAAAAAATAAAAATAAAAAAATAACTAACCCTAACCCTAACCCTGATAAAATAGAAATTTACCATTATCAACTGATAATTTACAATGCATCCCTAAGGCTAACACATCTCTCATATATGTGCACAGTTAAGAGGTTAGTTAGTGAGTTAGGTAGCTAGATCTTGAAACTAACAAAACAGTGTAAAAGCAGTGTAAACCCAACCAACAGTAAATGGCTGGACAGTGTATGGTCAGTGCGCTATATTGTGGAAAAAGGATTAAATCTCAGTGCTAGTGTCTATAATGTGAATTCCTCGATATTAAATGTTCATAGGTAATCTGTAGTACCCCAAGTAATATTTGTTCTTACAGTGTACTGAAGTAGCATATCACAGGACATGGTTAAGCTACGTTTGAGTAAAACAAAAGTGTTAGAAATGCAGTTACAAGAACAATACTTTCCCCCTCATATCTTCTTTGATTAGAATTGGTCTAGTTAGTCTAGTTCTAGTTATAAGAACTATTCCAATTATCTGTTAATCCATCTACTCTTTCATTTTTTTCTATCTGCGGGATGTTTCTTGTTTTTCTATAATTCTATATAATATAATTCTATAATTTTCTTTTCTATAATTGCAGCCCCATGCATTCTGCATATTGCAATTTTTCGATTCACTGTGCAGCCCGGCTTGAGTGTTTTGTCAGACCGATTGTTATTTGGGGTGCTGCAACTGTGCGCTCTCCCTCAAGCCTCTGGGCACATGGAGAGCTGTTTTCTCTTTTACACTGCTCTATGCTGGAGTTTCATTCTCTCACAGTGAATATCAGGTATTGATTACGTGAGAGCAACAATTGGGGGAAGAAAGACAGCAGAGGCTACTGGGTAGTGGCTCACTCAGCACTCTCTAGCTTTAGTATTAGCTGCTTTGCTGGCTTCTTGAAATAGGGCATGTTCAGCAGGCGTCCGATTATTATTGTCCGAATGTTCACAAAGTAGTTCCTCCATATTTTATTTTGGCCTGACAGGACCTTTTTCTTCTGCACTCACAGTGAAGAAGCTCCATGCTGATGACATGTTTTAGTGTGTGCAGCAGTGACAATAGTTGGTTACTGTCTGTGCCTCTTTGGAATAGGAATTCCCTTATTGATTGTGAAAAAGTAGTCAGTGCCAGTTTCACATTTCAGTGTCAGTGCAACTGTTGTATTATCTCGGACTCTAAACACAGTGTAGAAGAAGAGTAGAGTTATAGTAGTTCAAATTTCTTACGCCATGACTCCTTCTTGTTTCAAGTTTCCAGCAGTGTAGACACACGAGTTTGGTGTCATTGTTTTGCAGTGCCACCAGTCACAAAAACACGCTGGCATTGACAAAAGGAACTGATAAGCTCTGTTGCATATCAGACCATTTAGAGCCAATTCTCAACTGGAACCGGTTATTGATCCCATCCCTAGTGTCACTGTGCGTACGACACGAACCATCGTGCGTCACAATGCGTGTACACAGAATCGGCTGTATCTGTTTGTTTGTGAGCCAAACTACAATAACTAACTTCCTGTTGTTTTCCAAACACCGCCAAGTAAAGGAAAGGGAGGGAGAGAGAGAGAGAGAGAGAGAGAGAGAGAGAGAGAGAGAGAGAGAGAGAGAGAGAGAGAGAGAGAGAGAGAGAGACAGGGGATGACACAGCAGAGCGTCACAGGTCAGACATGAACCCATGACTGCTACAGCAAGGACTCAGCCTTGGTACATGGGCTCTACCAGGTGAGCTATCAGGGCGCCCCACCCTGTGCAGTATCTTTGCCTGACATCTCTGCCTGTGCCCATGGCGGCACGCCTCTCAGTTTAAAAACCTCTGCTAAAATACAACCGGAGATAGTTACAGCATTAATGGGAGAGCAGCAAGGACAAATCTTTGACAGTAGACAAAATCATATCATATTATGATATATAGTGTCATATCTGTCATATCACTGACGGCTAGACTTACATTTTTTTATGGTTTTGGTGTCTCCAGTGAAATAGTTGAGTAATACAAAGATCAAAACACCAACTTCTTTTAAAAACCCAAGCATGCTTGTGATTGTATTTTTTGTGGCTTTTAACATACAAGGATAAAGTAGTGTTTAAGCTCTGGTCAAAATATTGGATTAAAATATTTGTTGCACACTGGGTAAAAATGTCATAATTTCTGTTGATCTGTCGAAATGCAAAATCAAGCAGGGGTCCAGGTCCACAACTGCAATGGGATGATGTTTCACCATCCATCCCTCTGTCGGATGTATGAGTGGGGGACTGTTTGCCGCAGATGTTTAGGAAGCAAAGAGGAATTAATCACAGCAGGTCTGAAACACATGCTTATGACTGAAGAGTTTATCTGAACAGAGAACATTCATTTGATGCACCGAGGCTCTCACAACACAAAGCAACAGCATGACAACAGTACACCCTGACCAGGCTGAGGGGGAAGAAGGTTCATCTCTCTCCCCTGTAAACTGTGTCACATGTGTGCTGATGTTGTCCCTGCTCTGTCTTCTGTACTAGTCATATTTACTCCAACCAGGTCAAACACAATATTAACTTGATTGAGCAACATATAATTAGACTGAACAGCGAAAGGTGTCATACCTGCATGGCAGGTTTTCATCTCAGGAGTAAATGTTATGCAATGCTTGCCTTCCTCATATCACAACACATCCGTCAATGTATGTTAAACGGAAAACATGTGACAACATGTGAGTCATTGGCAAGAGATCCTAACAACCCATCAACAACTTGGTTGGGAAGCAGACCAATATGGATCTGAACACACATTTAGAGAAAACAGGAGAGAACTGGAAATATCTGGGATAAATAAAGAACTGGAAACTCCTCTTTCATTATTGTGACCACTTGAGGTTGACCCATTTCTTTTTAAATCTTTAATTTATCCAGGAAAGAGTGACTCAGCATGGATATTTACTGCTTCAGTTCCTTGTGTTCCCAACAAGGAGCTGCCACAGTCTTTCACAATTGGACAGCAGCAAGGATTTGAAGTGGGGGGGGGTCAAATACCTTGCCCAAAGGCACCTAAATAACATGTCAAATTAAATATGAACTGCATAACAAGCATCTCGTGACAGTTCACTTGCACTCCTCCCTCACTGTATCTGTTTACCTCTCTGCATTTTCAAACTTGCTACCAACAAAAGTTTGATGCATGACTAAACTAGCTGAGCCGTAGCTCAGTGCCACAGTGGTTAGTGCCAGAGGGGAAAACAGTCACTCTGAGATGTTTCCTCACACACTGCAGTGCAGTGCATCCCTCGCTTCAGTCAGCTTGTGAAATATGGTGTACTGATTTACAAAGTGGGGTCCAAGGACTGCGGGAGTTTTCTGGAGTCCCATTAGCTTCATTATTAATTGACTTGCATTGTATTTATGTACAAGAAAATATATGATTTGGTGTTTGCTCTGTTGTCAGCCTCCAAAGTATAAGTGATTTAATACAAACTTGTAGATTATATTTCACAACAAACATACTTTCTGATAGGGGCTGCTAAGACCATTATTTTGGTGAATGTGGGATTGTGATCTATATCTGTGGTGCTTTGTTTTTTTAAAGCTTTGGCGTTGTTACAGTGGTAATAATACACATGGTGGTCATATTACCTAGCTTAAGTTTGTAAGCTAATCATATTTCAATATCTTAAACTTAAACGTCTAATATGACAAATGGCGTCAGACGTGGACACATGAAACTGATAAACTTTATCTACCGGTGGCTGTTGAAGCTGTCCAGTTCATCAGTCTCAGGGAAGAAGACCTCTCCTCCTCCTTCGTCTTTGCGCTTGGATTTCTTCCGTTTCAGCTTGAACGACAACAGCCGCCTTTTCTTTACTTTGGGGGAAATGGGTAAAATGTCACCGGTCAGTGTGGCGTTGTCTCCCGGGCTGAGGGGTCCGGGGCTCGTCGGTAAAGTCTCCGACTTGTCCCTGGGGGTCGTGGCTCCATCTTTGAGAGAGCCCGACTGTTTCCGCTCCTTGCTTTCTTTCTCAGGTGACTTTAATTTAAACAAGCCCTTCAGTGTGCCGGACTTACTCATTGTGACCGTAAAATAAAAGTCCAAGTTCACAAAGTGCGAGCAGGGAAACAACAGCAGGACAAGAGTGGTGCTACTTATAGCCTCTGGAGGAGTGATTCACCGTAACCTGCACAGCGGGTTGCCGCGTGCGTTTGGACTTGCCCACATTGGTCGCGCGCGCTTACAGGTAACAGAAAGGTTTAAAGACACCCAGACACTTCCGACTGTTACCTTCAAAATAAGATGCCTTTATTTATTTGACGAATGCTGAATGACACAAGTTGATACGTTTTTTTTTGTTTTAACTTCAATCATCATCAAATTTATATATATATTAATTATAAAGAACTCATGAAGTGTTAAGAAATATTTTGTGAATATCTTTTATATCCATGTTTGACTTTTGTATTTTTGTTATTTATGGCTACATTTCAATATTGTTTTCAATTATTATGGTTTGTTGACTTAAATAACCTTTTAGCTTGAAGCGTATGAAGATACTCCAGGGGCACTGGCGGACCATTTCTATTGCACAGTTCAAAGGGTTAAGGGATCATAATGAAAAAGGATATTATAACAGAACATGGCTCCACTTTCAACAGGCGTCAAGTATAATAAAAAACAGCATAAAATTAAATTAATAAATAATAGTTTTAATAATAAATACATATAGGAAGATAATAATTAAAAGAGTAACTTAGGCAATTAGATCACATTCATATTCCAATAAATCAAATCTTAGCATTCTAGCTGTAAGGACACACTTTTATAGTTTATAGATTGGATAGACTGAAAGAATTCTTAAAGGTTCAAATGATGGATGGGACCTCGAGAACTTGGTTCTATGGATGTGATATGTCCCTAATATAATTAATAAGTTGATAAGTTACGATTTGAGAAGTCAAATCAACAAATGTTTGTGACATTTTTCTATGTTAAATAAATGAATTTTCTTATTAATCAACCTATTCTTTCAGTTCTAGTATATCGTCCTCTCTAGCTATCACCCTGCTACTTGTTAAAATATTCTATTTTTACATATTTATGTAATCCATACCAAATATATTAACTCACAGAATGCCTGCTGTCTAAGGAGTATGCAGTTAAATTTGTTTCAGATGACCAAGTGCTTGTACTAAAGAAGTGTGAACTGCAGGAAAAATCAGGTTAAAAAAAGGTTTAAAGGTTGAAGGTGGAAGAAGAAGTTAGGAACAGGCATAGTTGGACTGACCTATAGGGACCTCAGGGTCACCTCTGCCACTGCTACATTGTACAATTATCTGTCCCCTTCAAGTACACTGTGCCATATTCAAACGTCACTTATCAAACAAATGTAGCTACTGATATCTGCTTGTTGGAATTATTAGTTTGACTATATTTGGGTCCACTCATGGTCCAGAACCTGGCAGAATCTGTTTCACCTAGGTGATTGGAACAGGTTAAAACTTTATTACAGCCCTATAAGTTGAGCAAGGGGCAATTTATTCAGAGTGTGAATCATAAAATAGTATACACATTTCATTACAGTAATCAGCTTTATATTCATATGCATTGTGTGATTCACACACAGGGTACTGGCTACTTCCTTTTAAGGATTTAGACTAAAAAAGCTTTTATTTTGAAAGCCACATTTTTACCTTCAGCTTCTTACTTGATGCAGCTCATAGGCTCTTAAATCTCTCAACACAGCCTTCACAATTTTGTCTCACGTTGATGCAAACCTCCATTTTCCCTTTAACTGCCTCCTTGCAGTCATTTTTTAAATTGTGGTTGTGTGTGAATGCATGTGTTTCTCTCTAAATGTGAGAGAATGTGAGCCATAAAAGTCCCCCTACATAACATTTAAATGTCATTTGTGGTGACACCTGTGTTAATTAGGACACTTTTTAGGATCACTTTTAACATAAAGTTAAATAATAATAAAGTAATTCCTTACCTACATCATAAGATGTTAAAAGTCTGTGCAACATTTTTTAAATTGTACAGACATTTATTATTTTAGGAAAAGCATGCAATAAATAAAACAGGGCTTTCTTCTCCTAAAAGATAATATAAAGTAGATGTAATTGTTAGTTTTAATGGACTTTTTCCATTGTGTCAAAAAGTCCACTAAATATCTGCTATGCACTGATATAACAGCTCTACCTGCTGGTCATGTTAAGGAAGAACAACTGCAGTCTGTATAGTTATACACAGTCCATATTTACTTCTTTTCAACCCACTGGCCTGACAGAAAAACAAATAAATCTCTAAAAATATAAAAACAGACTGTTTTGGTTCAGTGAAAAAAAAAAGTTAAGGATTAATTAGCCTGACACAATAGGCTAATTAGGCTGGTTTACAATTATATAATACATACTTAAAGCTTAAAGATCCCCTCCATTCATGTATTAAGACATATATACAAATAGTCTGCTTAGAACAATAATGTTTGTCTGTTGTGTTTTTTTCCACAGAAAAAGGGTAATTTCCACATTCAAGTCCTTAAAACATATCTACCCCCTCTACCTTATTAAAACTTCCAGAATCTCTGATAACAAATGGGGGCTCGTCCAGGATTAACCTGTTTTTCCTTCTGACAATCAATGGGAAATTACTCATGGTGATGGTTTGGAATGTAATTGAAAAATGAGTTTCCACTTGCAAGAGTTCGTTGACAATCCCTCGTTTGAAAAGATTGATGTGTGTCGCAAGGATGATTTATTGTGTATTGCAGCACACTTTGACATTCCTGTTCACAAGTACGGACTTAAGAAATCAAGAAACAGGTCCTAGAAAAATTGGTTGATTTCAATGTCCTCTGTCCGGCCCAGCCTGAGGCTGAGGTTCCAGCTAATAGTGTCCTTTCTACTACAGCAGGTGTTTCGTCAGAGCATTGAGGAGTCTGCTGCACTATCCACCCCTCCTGCAAACCATGCTGGGAAACCTGCACCAGCTACGTTACCTCGTTTTGACCCTTTCTCTCTTCCATCCTCCCGGGAGTTCAGTCTAAATTCCAAACTCAATGTTCGCTTAACTCGCCTTCAGCTAGAGGCCCAGGAAAAAGACTCAGTGCGTAAGGCAGAGTATGATCTCCGCCTACAGGTACGAAAGTTAGAAATTGAAGCAGAGAAACAAGTAAGACTCAAGCAACTTGAAGTAGAGGCCCTGAAAATCTCTTCCAGTCCCTCATTAAACATGTCTGACAGGTCCACAACTTTTCAAACGGTATCCAGTAAACAAGGTTTTGATGTGAGTAAAAATATTTCTCTGATGCCAGCATTTCGGGAGGCCGAAGTTGATTCCCATTTTGGTGCTTTTGAACGAATAGCCTCAGCACTTGACTGGCCAAGAGACATGTGGCCCATCCTTCTCCAATGCAAGCTGATAGGTAAAGCACAAGAGGTAGTGTCCGCCCTTTCGTTAGAAGATAGTCTGCAATATGATGTATTAAAGGAGGCCATTTTGCGTGCTTATGAGCTCGTTCCTGAGGCCTATAGGCAACAATTTCGTAATCACAGGAAATCAAATGGGCAGACTTTTGTTTAGTTTTCACAGGAGAAGGGCACCCTCTTTGATAAATGGTGTGCCGCCAGTGATGTCAAAAGTAACTTCGAGACACTTTGTCAGCTTGTTCTGTTGGAAGACTTTAAAGGCTCTTTGCCAGAGAAGGTGGTAATGTTCTTGAATGAACAGAAAGTGAACTTTTGTTCCACGTTCCACCGGACCTGATTCTGGCCGTTTGGCCACTGAAAAGGCCAAGGGTTCCTTCTTGTCCACACAAGAGAACCGTGAGTGTTTCTATTGTCACAAAAGAGGCCACATTGTTGCTGACTGCCTGTCGTTGAAATGGAAACAGCAATTACCCTCAGCTCCTCAGCAAAAGGATGTGTGTTTGGTTAGAATGGTTCCAACACTTGTTACTGAACAGTCTGAGAACAAAAATACCACCTCTCACCTGCAGGACTGGGGAGGTGAGAGAGAGAGAGAGAGAGAGAGAGAGAGAGAGAGAGAGAGAGAGAGAGAGAGAGACAAATCTATACGTAACAATATGCAAATGTTGTTAATTTCTAAAGTTTTGCTGCTGGACACAAGATGTCTCCTACTTCAATTTAAAGTCCATTCTCAGTGGATGGGCACTGGTGGCTTCAGGTTTCTACGTCACACTGTACAAGTTGCATACTGGACCAGGATTGACTTCCAAATGATTTGTGATGTCACAGATCCTGTTTGTAGGCCCCGCCCCTTAAAATCAGATTTTTAGTGAGCACAGAGAAACTTTCCACTTTCAGCAGATGAATGTGAAAACATCCTTCTAGATCCTTCTCTCCTCTGCACAGACAGCATTCAAACATCAACAATATTTTTGAGTGGAGGGGAATTTAAAATAACATTCTTCAATCATACATTAAAGCAGGAAAAACCTAAGATTAAAAACAAAAACAAAACTGTTGAGGAGAAGGGAAACTAATTCTCAGCAAAAACCCAATGAGGTTTGAGGACATGCATGAGATAAAAAAAAAGAGTTTCTGTGTGTGTGTGGTATGTTGGTGTGAATAGTTCTGTATTAGCCGAGGAACCAGACGAATCTGGGAGCTCTTGTTTTATTTGCTCTGACAAATGCATTCTGGCAACACCTGTGTGTGTGTGTGTGTGTGTGTGTGTGTGTGTGTGTGTGTGTGTGTGTGTGTGTCAAAGACAGAAAGTGAGGGATGTGGGAAGGAAGCAAACTATCATTTGACAGTTTTATGATAATGAAAATATTTTCTGTATCTCTTAGGGAGATTTGTTTTCTTAATCTTCATCAAAAAAGTCTGATGGCACATATAGTAGTTACTCAGAAAAAGAGACACTGGGGTAAATCAAGCAATCTTGCAGTAAATCAAAGAATTGCTTTGTAAGCAAAAGAAACCAAAGATGCTTTGAACAATCAGGGGAATGTCCCTGCACGCTCAAAGATACAAAGTGCTGCTGGTAGGATCTGTGTACAAAGGTGGGCAGCCAGATGAGGTTGAGTTCAAAGCAGGAAGATCAGTGGAGTACTGTACTCACGCAGCAGCAGAGCCTGGGAGAATGTGTCTTTGGCTTCTTCTTTTAAGATTTTTTGAAAACGTACAGAAACTGTGACATAAAGCCCCCACGCTGAAGTCTTCCTTCATAAGCAGTTTTGTCACCGGTGAAGCTCTGGCACCTGGGAGGAATATTCTCACTCTCTCTTGACAACATCATACCCAGAGGGTAAAGAAATTGACTGAGAGAGAATCTACATCATTCTGCAAGGTATGTATGTTCTGAACAGAAAATACAAGGATTAAACTGTCAAAAATTCTTTCTGTTTTTGTCAGTTTGATAATTGAATAATCTATAGTATTTTAACGTGTCTATATGCATGAATTATTTAGTAGCATCTAAGGGTGGAACTGTAATGAAATGCCTTTGCTTTGGTATATTGCATGAAAGCCTGAAACTGCACTGCACTGATCAATGTCAAAGTTTTAAAATTAAATTAAAATTAATGACTGATCAGTTTTAAAGATTCAAATGGCTCAAGCTTCAAATTACACACACAAATGCTTTTACAGAACTGTCAGTTCTGTAAAACACTGAAACAATATTTACAGGGCGGTAAAGTTCTCAAAAAGTGCATCTAAACAATAGGGCTCATTCCTTTCCTGCTGTATTATCTTCACAATTAGATACGTACAAAAAACCTAATACCTTCCTCATTGATGGGTGCCCCTCACACCATACTATATATAATGTTACTATTGTGATTTGTGAGAAGTGAAAGTGCTGCAACAACAGATATCAGCACATCATGTTTGTTCCTAACATCAGATTTTGAAGAAGTACTCACAAAAGCCACTATTTGCATAAATGAGAAATCACATGTTAAAGTTAAAGTGCTGTATTACTGTACAGTAACTGTAATTTAATATCCATCAGTTAGTTAAAAGAGGAATCTTATGTTCTAATGTTACGCAGAGGAAGCACCTTGATTTTTTTCCTATTGATTTACAGTTGTTGCACGTTAGTCACCTTCATATACAGATTCTCAGTAACACATCTTCGATCCTTGGTGATAAGAATCTTCTTAGATCAGATGAAGCACAGAATGCAACCACCTACAACCTCTTCTGTGCATGCATTCACATATTGTCTAATGGTAATTGGGTCATTCACAGCCAGAGGAAAGAGCTGAATTAGAACACTGGCTTCCATCCTGTAAACAGTCAAAAAAAGCTGTACAGTGACTTTTACCCCATTCATTCAGGGTGCAGACCTTTCACTAAAACATCAAACTTATGTGCTAGATTGTTTGGTAACAGCAACATGTTACCAAACTTTATTTGGGGGAATAAATTGTACTCACTGGGTGATGATGGTACCAGTGAACAAGTTAAGGAATAAATGCTTTTATTATTAATCATTAATAAAGCCATTGATTACAATTTGTAAATGTTAACAGTAGAGAAGGAAGTATTCAGATCTTTTACTTAAGTAAAATTATTAATATCACAGTCTACAAATGCTCCATTACAAGTGTCACCAGCATTCACAATGTTACTTTGGTTAATTAAGTCAACACATTTACTGTGAATTTCTGGTACTTTTCTTAGAAATTCCATTTTATCCATACTTTATTTTATTTTGTTTTATTTCTACTTTTTATTATTTTGGAGGAAAATATTGTATTTTTCACACATTTATCTGTCAGCTTCAGTTACTAATTTGCCATTTAATATTATTAATACAAAATATAATCAATAATTCAAGAATGTAAAATTAGAGATCAACATAATAAAAATAATAATAATAACAATTAAAATATGCCTTAAAATAAGCCACCAACATACTTTAAGGACTAAACTTACACAAGTTCAGTCCTGTAAGTATCTTAGTGACCATGTCGATTGAACTTTAACCTGGAATACCCATGTTGACTAGGTATGTTCTCAACTCCTCCAGAGAATGTATTCTTTACATAGGCTGTATCCATATGGAGTCGAAGAGAAAATTATGTTTTTGTTTAATCCTGCTGTTTTGGAGAGTGTTATCAGGTATGGAATTTCTGCATGGTTAGGGGTGTCATTAGAATTGAATTAATTTTAATGACACAGGAAATTAAATCAAAGTTAGCACATTTGGCTCAGGCTGCAATGAAAATCATCCGTAAGAAAGATCATCATGATGTTCAGTCTCTATATGACCAATGCTTTCTTAAACAGGTAGAGAGAATCCTCTGTAAATTAGAGGTTACGGAAGCTGTATCGTAGCATATAACCTGCTGCCTTGTGGTGTGTATTTTTTTTTTTTTTTTTTTTTGGTATTGTAGTTCTGTGTTTGTTGCCAAATTTCCTCATGGGGACAATAAAGTATATATCTACATCTATTTACCTTTCCCAGTGGCAATATTACACTAGTGCTTACACATGAATGCATGCATAGTTATAATCCTATATAATATAATATAATATAATATAATATAATATAATATAATATAATATAAAGCTACTTTTACTTTTGGTACTTTGAGTATATTTTCATGCTAATACTTATTTTCTTCTTACTTTTACTTATGTAACATTTTGAATGCATGACTTTTGTTTGTAACCTTTTTCCACTACTGTACTTCAGTACAGGTACAGCAGCAAAGTATTTATAGTATAAAAAGTACTCATTATACAGAAAAACTCCTTTCAGAGGGTTATATTATTACAAAATGTTCAATATGATTGGATATTACTTTATGTAATTTAGTAGTAAAGCACAGCATCATAGTCTATACGTTTGCATGTAATATCCTAATGTGTAAATGTATGAGTCAGATAAATGTAGACAGTTCCCTCTCCAAATTGTAATTCTGCAATTATTTGCTGTTTGGTGTAAATATTCGTCTTCTCTTCTCAGATTAAAAACATGATGGCAGTGACCTCGGACTATGAATCTATTGCACCAGATGATTACTCAGATGAAGGGCCCTGCAACCTCGACCCTAACCCCATTGAGGTCATCACCCAAACTTACATCCACTCCATCATCTGTGCCTTCGGCCTGATTGGTAATGCTCTTGTGATCGTCACCTACATATACTACAAGAGAGCCAAGACGATGACAGATGTCTATCTCTTGAACGTGGCTGTGGCTGACTTGATCTTTGTAGTAGCTCTACCATTTATCATATACAACGAGCAGCACGGTTGGTTGATGGGTATGGTGGCTTGCAAGATTCTAAGGTCAGCCTACAGCATCAACCTCTACAGTGGCATGCTCCTGCTCGCGTGCATCAGTGGCGACCGTTATGTAGCTATAGTTCGAGCCAGAAGATCCTTCGGTGCTCGCTCACGCACTCTGATCTACAGCCGCCTCATCTGCTCATCTATTTGGGTGTTTGCAGTGGCTTTAACTCTGCCCACAGTCATCTACACTGAGCTCTTCGAAGAGCAGACTCTAGGGGCTGGTTCCGGCGCTATGATGTGTCAGCTGCGTTTCAGCATGAATGAAACAGCAAAGCTAATGAAGGTGCTGGTTCCAAGCCTTCAAATGGCCATTGGGTTCCTGCTGCCTCTGTCGGTGATGGTGTTCTGCTACTCCAGCATCGTGTGCACCTTGCTGAGAACGCAGAGCAGCAAGAGGCACAAGGCCGTCCGTGTGGTTTTGGCAGTTGTTGTGGTTTTCATCATTAGTCACCTTCCCTACAATACGGCCCTGCTGAGTCACACTGTGTCTCTTTTTAAGGAAAGGAGTTGTGAGGAAGAAAAGATCAAACTCCAAGTCCTGGCTGTTTCCAGGACCATAGCCTACCTGCATTGCTGTCTCAATCCCATCCTCTATGCCTTCATCGGGGTGAAGTTCAGGAGCCACTTCCAGCAAATAATGCTGGACCTGTGGTGCTTTAGCAAAAAGTACATCCACACTGTTCGCTCATCACACGGGACGTCTGATGTTTGCACGACAGCTCGCATGTCTTCAGAGGGCTCCAACAACATGTCATCCTTCAGTGCATGATACTGCTGTGTTCTTAAGGGGATGATTAGCAATGCCAATGCTGGAGCAGCCTCTCATTTTTCCCAAGCTGTTGCTTTGCTGTAGCTGTGCATAAGTAGCTTTAATTGGCTTAAACATGAAATCTTTTCTCAGTAACCATTAGTAGGTTTCCTTCAGTATAAAACAACATCAGACAGTTACTTTCTAGCTTAATGCAATATGTATAATGTAAGTCAGAACATTAATACATGTGATTAATAGCAAAGTAAAAAATTTTTGGAAATGGAATATAATATAAATTAGTGTATACCTGTCACCTGAAAATAAAAATTGTGTTTTCTTTACTTTAGACTGAGATGTTTTTATTATACATATCCTATTTTTTTTTTTTTTTACACATTATTGAGTTTTTACATTTTGTATATCTGATTGTATTATTCTGAAAAATACTGTGGGTAAAAAAAGTCTCAAAAAGCACTGAAAATAGCACTTAAATGTACAGTATATACACAATCATTGCATTAATAATGCTATAAAATAAAATTGTCTGATATATGTGACATTTCAACCATTCAGACTGTAAAATGACTAACATGTCATTACCTTTTTTGTCATATGGTCATTAATGTATATTTTACTTGTTAATTATTCAATCTATTACTAAATACCAATTTAATTTGACATTTAAATACCTGAATACTATGCCACATTACTGCATGTAAACTCTGTGTGCATGCAGTCAGCCCTGACTGATAGTTAAAGGACTTTTTCTGATAATCAAGATAACAGAGAAAGAGGAAGGAAGACCCAGTGTGCTATTGTAGGTCATGCTCCTTCTCACACAATGTGTTCAGATAGTGTGAGAGAAAGTGCTGCAAACTCAGATGTGTGTTCTTAAAAAGAATGTTGGTGAATATCTGAATGGCAAACAGAGCACCAGTGGACAATTGGAAAATTTCCCCCCTGATAGACTGTCCAACCTGAAGCAAGAGACACAAATTGGTGCATAAAAATTCACCATAATGCAGAAAATGATGTGTTTAACTATCCAAAATCTAATGGGGAGGCCCCCAAGACCCGCTGCTGACTAGCAACCAAAGAATAAACTGCTGTAAGAAACAACCATCACAGCAAAATATTAACTTATTTCTTTATTATTACTGGTAGTTATATAGGTAATGTCATCTGAAAAATTACATTAAAGTTGAATTAAAATTTAAACAGCATAGGCTGAGTTAAAAATTAGAATACATTTGTATTTTTAAAAAGTACATATTAAAACAGTGGCAGAAAGCAATGATATGAAGTCATTAAAAACACACTGACTGACAAAGTCATGAAAAACTAGAATGATAGGATAAAGCACCTGTGGAATAGTCTGTGGGTACCACAGTCAGTAGGTCCTATAACATTAACTAAAGACACTAAACTTCTGCACTTTAAATGTGTTCTTTGTGAGGCAAAGGGATTTCAATCAATTCTAAACTTTTTGGTTTTTGAGTCTTTTCCTGTAGTTGGTTTAGAAAACGTCATAAAACACCACAACAACTTTCCATGGTCATGGTTTAAAAGAGATTTGAAAGCATGAAGCAGGCAAAATGAAACTGACCTTACCCACTGAGGCACAACCCGCACAACCCACATACAATGTAATAGGTTTTCACATGAAAGTACAATAACATGAAAGCCATTGGCGGTGCTCTGTTCTATATCTGCCCAGTACTGACAAAAACAGTTAAATGCTAAGCTATTGACCAGGCTATTGTCAGTGTGGATGTTTAAGCTTTGATGTTTCTTTTTTGTGAAGCATATAATTGCTCTTTTCTGTACACTTATCTTTAACCACCATCTTATAGTTTACACACCATTATCACTGGTGTCTGTGGCCCATTGCTTCAGGAGGGGGACACCTAGCAAAGACCATCAGCCCCCACAGGGTTGGCTAAACTCCAGGCCTGGTAGAATTCAAACAGGCCTTTACAGCCAGCATGGCTTGCAAGCTCTTGGGACTTTTGGTGGCCAGAAACAAGTCAAACAATGACTGACTTTTTTTTAACTTATTACACTTACCTGCTTACACAATTCTACTATAACATCTCTGAGGGAACCTGTTCCGTTGCCTTCCCTGATGTTTCTTTTAAATGGGCTTGAGACAAATTAGAGATTTTAATCCAATTTACATAAAAATATAAAACATGGGGTGCCTGGGTGGCTCAGCCATGTGCCAGGTCTGGGTCCATGCTACAGCGACCTAGGGTCCAACCTGGGGCCCATTGCTGCATGTCATCCCCTCTCTCTACAAAACACATCAAAAATAATGTGTAAAAAAACAGAAAATAATTTCAATGATTTATTATGGCCACATTTTAGACTAAGTTTAAGTCCAATGAATGTATTTGGAAATAAAACAATTTATTGATTTCTAATGCCACCTTTAGATGTTTCTATTGTATCTGCCACAATGATGTAATGAGCTCAAATATCTTCTTTTGGGGGCTTTTCCAAGCAAATATTCATGTGGTTCCTTGCAATTAAATATATTTCTCTCTCGAGATCTGCCCCTGACACAAATGCAATATGCCAAAATGTGTCTGGTAAACCACAACAGCACACAAGGACTTATATGTTTGTATGTTGATATCTCTTTTACAAAGACAAAAATGTTCATGTTGTTGACCCAAGATATTGTTACACAATACACCCAATGACATCACGAGTAAATTATTGTTAATCAAATCCCAAAGAAAAAAAGAAACAGAAATACGACAGACCCCAGTTACATAATGGTAACTTGAACAGCACCATTCCTCCTTCTTCATCCACTGGATGTCCTCAGTTAGCTTTGTTTAATTTTTGGTTTTTGGAACTTGAGGGATGAAATCCTTTCCTTTCCCCCCTCCCCCTGTTCCGTACTGTATGTAAAGCAGCCCAAGGCAGTTGATATAGTTAATTGCAACTGTTTTGTTCACATCTCCCACCCACTCTGTTTGCTTGCATTCTTGTTCTGCTGTTTGCTGTACAGCTTGCTCAAACCTGTAAAATCTGTGCTGGTGGGCAATCTTCTCTTACTTTGGCTCCATGCCTCTTTATTGCCACGCCATAATGCTTACCTATCCTTTTATCACACATAAATACCTTGTACATAATGATTATCGTTTGGGTTTGGTTGTTCCTCCGTGTACACTGTGAATCTGTGTGGCCTCCCTGAGCCTGCTGGTCACACAAGTTAACCATATAGAATTCTAGAGCTGAAATTACGCAATTGAAATCATTCAATCAAATTGATATTTCACTCGAGACTCATTGTAGACACATTTGAATGCCAGATGTGAACTGCAGTTAAACTCAGCTGGCTCCAGGCACAGTGTGGATCCATCTGGACACAAGATAACACGTCTGAACAGGGTCTGAGTGGTGTGAGGAAAGGATCCACCACATTTTGCATTCAAAATTGGAAATGTTATGGTCCTAATTCCCACAATCATTTGGCACATTTTGTGAGTTTTAGAACTATTTTGACTTCTTCTCAGAAACAAACTAGTTGTCATGCCAACACCTGTAGTGTCTCCCTACTCCTTTCTCTTTTCTCTCTGTGTGTCCTCTGCTCCCTTTTTAGGTCTGTTGCTACAACACCTGTCCTCTAGATGTCCTCTGTGAGTTGACTGTCTACACACCACCTGACCTCTCTTGTGAGCCAGGACTTGCCTGTGCAGCTGTTTCCTATTTGCTTGCTGGCAGTGATGATAGATATAGACAAATGTACAAAATCAAAACCAACCGATACATGATCTCCGCCTCACAGGAGGCTGCAGAACTTAAAAACAGGCATGTCATACCATTGTGCAATCTTGCATTATGTGTGTATTAAAATGCCAGAATGTGGTGAAATGGTGTAGGACTTTCTCTTTGTGGAAGAGCACAGATGTATGTGATAGATGTAACTGTTATTAATGATGGCTCTATTCATTTAGGTGTCCTGGCGCATTATGCCAGTAATGTTGTATTTATACTTAGACAAACACAATGCTGCTATGGGTTAGAACTATTACACATTGAGCAACCCCATGAAAACTAGTGCCTCATCTGATGTTTTTAATTTTAAATAGACTATTTAAGATTGTTTGTTTTGTCTGTAACAAAAACAATTTATTTGTTCTCCACAGAAAAAGATCCTACATCCTTCTACTTATAGACACAGAAACCTGTAAGACACAATCTACTAGTTTCACTGTTTTTTTGTGGTGTATTCCTGATTCTATTATTATATTAATATTCCTCATCTTTCCAGTTGCCACTAAAGAGTTTCTTCAGGGTCATTCCTATATGTTCCCAGGGTCCTACATTCCGCAGATGTTTATGGGAACCTGACAAAGGGTCCTACGTTCTTCAATTCTAAGTTTAAAGCTGCAGTAGGTATTTTTTTATTAAAAATAACATTTTGTCATGTTGGCAAAAGTTTCACTCCATATTGACAGTAGTACATGAGACACATAATCTGTGAAAAAAATCTGGTTCCTCTGGCTCCTCCTAGTGCTCCTAATGGTGTTTGCAAGAATCCACCAGGCCTGAATGAAAACAACCAATCAGATGCGAGAAAGAAGTTGAGTCTCATTCCCAGGGTGTCACAGATGCTTTGGGACCCTGGGAATGAGACTCAACCATCAACTACCTTCAAGCTTCCAACCCAAAACATCTCTCTCAGCTCTGATTCGTTGTTTTCTTTCCGGCCTGGTTTATACTTGCAAATGTCATTAGGAGCGCTACAACAAGCCAGTTGTATATATTGGTATCTGCTTTTGGGTTGCCTGGTACCCACAGCATTTAAAAGGCCTGTGCATCGTATGTTTTATATACCTGGGAGTGTGCAGTGTGTTTGATTGACATATTCCTCACTCTCCTGCATTCTTTGTTGCACCAGGGACAAATTACACATTTATCATTCTTATTTGTGCATGTCCATTGACCTCACGTAATGCCCAGTATAGCTCTGCCCATCGTCAACCTGAACAGAGGTCTAATCAGCAAACATGAGTGAAAACACCTGTGTTGGTGTGCAGGGCCTTTAAACACAATCCAGATATCATTTCTGAATAGAGCAGTGAAAATAAAATAGAAAACTGCACACCATAACAGTAAAAACATTTTTTAATGACAGACATGTTGACATGTCAAAGCACTAGTGTAATTAATAACTTTGATGGTGGCCATTTCCTTGGTATTGTGAACCCAGAAATGGTTTACTGGAACTAAGCTATTGTTAATGTCATTAATTACAGCTGTGCTTTTCCTGCTGTGAAAATGTATATAGGGGTCAGAATCTATAACAGTGGTAAAATATTTATTT